AAAAAAAAAAAAAAAATTCTTTTAGATAATTGGTGCATGTGAAAATTCCTTCAAAATTGTAAAATGCCATTGACTATAAGGAATTATTAATGTATTTGTTCCAAGGTTATTTTTTATTTTTTAAAATTTTATTTATTTATTTTGAGACAGAGTTTCACTTTGTCACCCTCAGTAGTGTGCAGTGGTGTCACAACTCACAGCAAACTCCAACTCCTAGGCTTAGGCAATTCTTTTGCGTTAGCCTCTCGAGTAGCTGGGACTACAGGGGCCCACCACAACATCTGGCTACTTTTCTGTTGTGTTCAGTTTGGCCGGGGCTGGGTTCGAACCTACCATCCTTGGTATATGGGGCCAGTGCCCTACCCACTGAGCCATAGTTGCCGCCCTATTTTTTATTTTAACCTTTTTTGAGACAGAGTTGCAAGCTGTTGCCCTGGGTAGAGTGCCCATGGCATCACAGCTCACTGCAACCTCAAACTCTTGGGCTTAAGTGATACTCTTGTCTCCTCCTCCCAAGTAGCTGGGACTACATATGCCCGCCACGATGGCTGGCTATTTTTTGGTGGCAGTTGTCATTGTTGCTCAGCAAGCCTGGGTCAGGTTTGAACCTGCCACCCTTGGTGTATGTGGCTGGTCCCCTGTCAACTGAGCTACAGGCACTGCTTGTTCCAAGGTTATTAGTGAAAATTTAAGTTTAAAAAATTCATTCAGAGAAAAGCTTAAAGAAAACTGAAACCATGTCCTAATAAATACATCATATACACTAAGATACTTGACTTGTAAATAATGTGTTAACGTACTATACCTTACAAGTAGCAGAACAGAATGGTGCTAAATCTAGCATAAGTGGAAAATCGACATGTCTGTTTACTTTACGAAGACTCAGGCCAGCCTAAAAACAAAACATTTTTTAATGCAACAAACTTAAATGAAAAGCAATGTGTTAACTTAAGCCAAAAGAGGAATCCTAGAAGTTAGTTTTTCATATATATATGAAGAGTAACTAATGAATAGTATAAAATTGATAATGACTAAGTTAAAAATTAGATTTCATAAATTGTTACCATAAAGATTACTCATTTACATGGGAATTTTTACCACAAACAAAAATTACTTTCACTGTTGCATTTCATACTAATGGAAAAATTCGATGTGATAAAAGCTAAGCTACTAACACATGTGCTATCATGAAAATACATCCAACCAAAGAGTCAGAAGCCTAGTATTCTTTGTAGGCACCTGAGTCAAGTGACTGGTTAACAGTTAACTTGATTCTAAGTAACGTCCTCTAGGTCAAGGCAGAAAACAGTTTGAATGGATCAGATTCTTTTTCACTTCTAAAATTCAGTATGTGCATCCATCCCAACAAAAAAAGCCCCTGAACATTCAAACCATCTTACCGATAACAGTAAAAGTTGTACACTGTATCAATCAAAATGTACTTTCATATGCTTAAATGAGCTCTACTTTTCCTAGTTTTTTAATTTTCAAAATACATGCTTTGCATTAAGTAATGGCAATAAAAAACTAGCTAATAAACTAGACCTGAAAATAGAAATGGACGTTAGAATGAAAAGGTATTTAAAACTGAATCATATGGCTCAGCGCCTATAGCTCAACCGGCTAAGGCGCCAGCCACGTACAC